TCCGGTCCATCCCGGGCCAGAGAGGCAGGGAGAGGCAGGGAGAGGCGCTTGGCTGCGCTGGGGGGCGTGAGCCCCCGGCCGCGTGGCATCCCCCCAGTGGGGGGGGCCGGCCAGGCCATTCCGGCGCGCGGCTGCGCTGGGGGGCGGGAGCCCCCGGCCGCCTGTCATGACTTTTTCAACAGCCCAATAGTTTGTTAATTCTCATTACTATACAACATTCCATAGTGTGACTATATCACAATTTGCCTATTCATTCAACCTTTGATAGGATTGGGAGGGTTCCAGTTTGAGGCTTTCTTAGGTTGAGCCCCAGAAGCAGACACCTAGAAGAAGAGACTTGACTTGCTAGTGATTTACTAAGGAAGGCTCTCTAAGGAGACCAGAAACAGAGTATAAAAACAGACCACAGAAGGAGAAGAAGCCAAGTAAAAGTGCAATCTTAGGAAAAGTCCCACATCTTGGTTCTGTAGGTGAACTGTAGGGTGTAAATACTGCCTCAGCTGATGCAAGGGTGCTGGGCTTTCAGAAAACCCAAAACCTATTTACTTAAAACTGCCAACAACTGGTAGGTAGGTTTACAAAGCAAAGGAAAGATAAAAAGAGATCTAGATGGAGACTAACAAAATACAACTATACCATTTTTTTTAAAAAACTGTGTGAGTAAATTTTTGTGCTCTCGGGTTAGTCAATGGTTTTTTAGACATGACACTAAAGACGTAAGTGATCAAAGAGACTGATGAGTTGAACTTCATCTAAATTAAAAATTTTCAAACTTTTAAAGACTCTATCAAGAAAAAGACAATCCATAGACTTGGAGAAAATATTTGTGTATGATGTTTTATAACAGGTTTGTATCCAGAATATATTAAGAACACTTATGGGCCAGTGGGTGGTATAGTAGTTAAGGCACCGTGTTCCCACATGTCTGACTGTAGTTCAAGTCCTCAACCCGGTGGCTTGAAAAAAATCACAAGAAAGCCCACAAACAGATGAATGAATTGAAAAAGTGTGGCATATATACTCTATGGGGTACTACTCAGCCATAAAAAACAACAAGACCCTGGAATTTGATAGAAAGTGGTCCGATATGGAGGATCTATTACTAAGTGAAGTAAGCCAGGATATGAAAGGAAGATATTATATGTATCCACTTAATATATATCGACTATCTGCACTTTATGGTAGAGATAGAAATATTGGAGGGCATAAAAGCAGTGAAAATAGTTAGCAATGATAAAACAGTGTGGAACAGGGTGGAAGAAGAGAAAAGTATAGAGAATGATAGCAAGAGAACAAATAGAGAGGCATGACATTAGTGGGATTCAGATTTCGTTTATTAACTGCTGATGATGATGTGTACTATATTCTCAACTGGACAGGTCTAAGAAATATTTCATGATGGGTAAAGTCTTCTTACAAGCAAAATGATAAATAGTGATTGAATATTTTAAAAAATAGGAATAATAATGATCTGGAAAAAAATGAAAAGCTATTGGATGGATGATGATAGGGATTTTAATGTCTTTGTATTGATTGATATGAATGGTATTCCTTCTGGAAAAAGAAATGTAATACACTGTAAAGTTATATGTGATTCAATGTAATATAAACGAGGTTATGATGATAATTTAAAAATCTAAAAAAAAAAAAGATAACTTTTCAAAAAAAAATCACAACAAATAAAAATAAGATAAATAGGGGACCAGCAACTGGATTAATGTTTATGTCACTGGATTCCCATGTGGCCAACTGCAGCTCAAGTCTCGAACCCAGCAGCTTGAAACTCATGCCAGGTGCCTGTGTGTGTGTGTCCAAAATCCTGAGAGGAGAATGAAGGAGAAGGGATTGCAGCATGGCCATGGGGGTGATTTCTCACTTTCTGTCTTTCTGTCTCTCTGTCTCTTTGGCAAATGCACATGCCCTATAGCAAAAATCTCTCTAAAAGATAAATAAATAAATAAATAAATGTTTTTTAAATTAAAAACTAGTGTACAACTGTTATCTGTATTTTAGAAATGACAATAAAAATTATTTTTAAAAAGAACACTCAGAACTCAATAATAAAACAACTCAATTTAAAAATGAGTAAAAGATTTGAATAGATATTTTGCCAAAGAAATCATGAATGTCAATTAAGCACATAAAAGAGAAGCTTAATCCCATTAGTCATTATAGAAATGCAAATCAAAACCACAATGAGATACTATTTTGCACTCATTATTGTTTGTTCATTATTGTATTGCTAAGCAGAAATACCTGAGAAAGGGTGATTTAGAAGTAATGGTGGTTTATTTGGCTCGAGATTCTTGGGGCTGGGAAGTCCAAGAGTATGGGGCTGGCAGCTAGCCCACCTCTGGTGCTAAGTCATAACATGGCTGAGAGAAACAAGCAGGTACAGAGAAGAAACAGACTCTTCCATTTCCTCTGTTCGTCCTTCCCATGTTCCCAGCCAATTGGATGGTGCCTGCCTCAATGAAGGCAGGTCTTCCTTGAAGGTCTCCCCACCTCTCAATGCTATTACATCAGAGAAAAAATTACAATACATAAACTCTTGAGAGACAAACCATTATCTAAATCATAGCAGTAACTATCCAAACACAAACACTAAACTTTGGCAATGATGTGAATAAATTAGAACACTCTTACATCCTTGGTAAAAATGTAAAGTAGTACAACCACTTTGGAAAACAGATCCCAAGTTCCTCAAAATGTTAAACATAGAGTAACTGTATGACTCAGCAATGCTACTCCTAGACATAGGCTCAAGAGAAATAAACATATGGGACACAAAACTTTGAACATGAACATTCATAAAGGCATTTTTTTTAAGTTTTTGCCATAGGGCACGTGCGCTCGCTGGAGAGAGACAGACAGTACATGGGAAAGTGAGAAATCACCCACTCCCACCCCCACCCGCCACAGGGGGATAGCCATGCCACAATCCCTTCTCCTCTATTCTCCTCCTAGGATTTTGGACATGCACCTACATGTCCCCAGTGTGATTTTCAAGCTGCCAGATCCAGGACTCAAACAACAGTGGGCCATGTGAAAGTCCAGAGCCACAATTACTACACCATCTGCTGCCCATAGAGGCATTTTTCATAATAGCTAAAAAGCAGACAATGTTCAACAACTGGAGAAAACAAGTAAGTAAATGAAGTGTGCTATATCCATATAATTGAATAATATTTGCTACTAAAAGGAATGAAGTATTGATACAGGTTACAACATGGATAAATCTTAAAAGTGTTATGCTAAGTGAAAGAAGTAGTCACAAAATACTACATATTGTATGATCCCACTTATATGAAATTTCTAGAATAGGAAAAATCTATGGAGACAGAAAATAGATTAGAGATTGCCTAATGGAGGTGACTGCTAATGAGTATAAGGCTTCTCTGAGGATGATGAAATGTTCTAGAATTACATTATGGTGATAGCTCCACAACTGTATGAATATACTGAAATTTATTGAATTGCACATTTTTTCATTTATGTTGAATCACTGTACGTCTTTACAGTGTACAACATAGTTTTTCCCAGCATGACTTGTATACTGTTTTTTTTTTTTTTGAGAGATTTTTGCCACAGGGCATGTGTGCTCCCCAGAGAGACAGAGAGACAGAAAGTGAGAAATCACCCCCCAGGGGGGATGGCCACGCTGCAATCCATTCTCCTCCATTCTCCTCTCAGGATCTTGGGCACGCACGCACACGCGCCCAGCGTGAGTTTAAGCCACTGGGTCCAGGACTCAAACCACGGTCGGCTACATGAGGGTCCAGCAACATAGCCAATATGCTAACTGCTGGTCCCATGACTTGTACACTTTAAATTGGATGAATTTTATAGTGTATAAATTATCTCACGAAGCTGTTAGAAATCAACATAAAAAGAAACCAAATGATCAGTGTTTAAGAAGTGTTCAGTAGGTAGAGTCTATTAAAAACATTTTTAAAATCTGCACTAAAATGACTCAATGAGTAACCCACTGCTGTTACTGAAAATGACTAACCTTTGATGCACTTGAATATCTGGGAAAAGGTCACACAAGGGTTGCCGCAGAACTCCCTTCTAAGGTCATATGATTTCTAAAAAGTAACCGCTAGGTCTGAAGTCATCAGGGTGTTAACTACGGGGATGGTTGATTCAACACCAAACATCCTGACAGAACATGACCATGCATTATAACAGAGACCACATCCTCAGCTCAAGGAAGAGCTAAAGATATTGTAATAGAAAGCACATTGCACACTGTTCCTTCAGGAATTGAGGCTGATTCTTCTTGAGTGAGGCCTTCCCTAGTGCTGAAGCAAAATAGCCAGGTCTAGCTCCCATTTTCCTTCTCAGCCTAGGAAGGAAGGAAAGAGAGAAGGAAGGGAGGAGAAACTCTGAGATACTTTTAGTATCTAAAATTTGTAAAATTAGACAACAGAGGGAAGCATGATCAGAGGGCTGAAAAGAGCCAATTGCCCTTACCCCACCAGCCCATGTCTTCACACCTACCACAGACTGCAGGCAGGACCACAGCAAACCATTCCCCAAAGTGAGGAAGGTGTTTCTGTGTAAGTCCCTCTGCTATCCTCCACTTGCACTTGGTCTATTCATTCTTACACAACCCCAGGAGACAGTGAGAAAGATATCTGAATGGTGACCACTTTTAGGGTATTGTTTTAAAGCTCTAATTCAAGTCTTCAAAGAGCTTTCACCCACAGATACTGACAATGGAAGAGTTTTCCAAATCTCAGCAGAGACATTTGACAGTCTGGTCGTGTGCACTCTATTCTACGGCAGTGAAGTCCCTTGGCCCTCACCCACACTGCAGAATCTCATGCTTCCCTCAGAAGCCCTAGCAAGGAAAGCATATCTGCCAGCAACTCAACTATTCTCACTTACTTGTGTTTCATTTCCTATGCTAAACTTTGACATTGTAAAGAAAGAAAAGAAAGGAAACCACATCCTTTGTACTCTCAGTATATAGGTAGAGGCAGTCAAGAACTGAAAAAGATTTTCATACTGATTGATGTGGGGACACCAGCCACAATGAGGAACTTCTGTACATTTCTGGCATCCTCTCTTTCAGTTGTCATTTTTCTCCTGCTAATTCCTGAAGGTAAGATTTATTCTTGCTGTTTGCTTTATAACCATTAAATAGATGGAGCAAACTTCCAATGACCCTCTAATGATATTTCTTTATTATACTGAGTGAAGATATTTTTCCCAAAGCTATAAAATGTTTAGCATTCTTTCTTGAATTCTAAATATATTTTTAAAGAAGGAAAAACTCCTTTTTTATTCTTCATAATTTCTTCATAAAAGATAACAGAACTACCAGTGCCAATTGCTGCCAATTTTTATCTTGAAAATTGTCAACAAGTCAATATAAAAATGAATGAACAAAATGCTCTTGAGTTAAGAAAACAAATAGTTGTTTCCTGAAAACAGTGGTTCTTTAGTTGGTTTAGTCTTTCTTATTGCAGAAAATGCATAGATAGTTTTAAAGACAAGACCAATCTGTCTAGACACCACAAGTGAGTAAGGACTGGTCAGAATTTTTATAGTCATTTCTCTAGGCCAGAGTCGCCTTGGGGATATCTTAGGACATCAGGAAATTCTCCACATCAACTCTTTGATCATTTTTATTAAGATACTTCTTTGGTATACTAAAAGGTAATAACCAAATATTCCTGCTTTTGTGAGCACTGTACAGCCATGGACTGAACTGCTGTAAAATTCATGGCATATCTCGGAGAGGGTAATAGCTGCTAGGTAGCTCTAGATTTTCCTTGAAGGATCTAGTAGGATGTGAGGACTATTCTGAGGCTGTGGTGAGTTGAACTGATAAATGTGGAGTCAGCCATTGTTTACCCCTAAGGTTCATCAGTTTTTGGAGGTGGGAGTGGTAGGCAGGGACTTGTGTAATAACCAGTCTTGCCAGGAATTCCCAAAGAAGTTATCTGGTATCTTGCACCTAAAAATGAGAAAATTTTTTTTAAATAACAAGATTATCAGACACATGGGGCAAAAGGGTGGGCATTTCATCAGCATGGCAAAGTAATATATATTCAGGCATGTTAAATCCCCCTAACAGTGAAAACAGGGAGGTTATAAAAATCCAAACATAATTTTTCTTCAAAGGGAACAATAAATGCAACTCGCTCTACTCTACTTTTTTTTTCCTCTGTTAAGAAAAAGCAATAAAAGGAACAGACACAACAAAGCAACAGCTGATGCTCTGGACCAATGGTCTTAATCTCCTACCCATTAGAATAAGCTGGAAGACTTTTAAAATGCTGACATCATAGCTTCAAACTCAGAAATTCTGATTTAATTTTCATTCTAGATGGTGACCAGGAATATCCAGTTTTTAAAAGCTTCCCAGGCCAGCTCATGGCCTAGTGGCTAAGGGAGCTGGATCCCACATGGCTATCCACTTGGTTTGAGTCCCAGACCTGGCCAGCTTGAGAAACACACCAGACATGTGTGCATGCATGCCCAAAATCCTAAGAGGAAGGAAAAATGGAAGAGAAGGGATTACAGTGTGACCATGCCCTATGGGGAAATACTTTCTCTCTCTCTGCCTCTTTCTCTGGTGAGCACACATACCCTCTGGCAATTTTTTTTTAAAGCTTCCCACCTATTCTAAACCCTATCCCAAGATACAAGGTGTTGGTGTTGGTGTTCTAGGACTGACTGAATGAGGGAGATGTGAACTTATTTCTGAGGCTGGCCTATGTGCTCACCAAACACACACACTCTGCAAAAGAAAGTGTTGTATTGAGTTTATGGTTTCTACAGCCCAGAAAGTCCAAAAATGTACCTTTGGAATCTATCCATACATGACTCACCCTAGGAAAAATTGGGATGCAAGTGAAGTTTTCTTGGTTTCTGTAAGTTTCTCACCCTTTATTTCTAGAGCCTGGGAATTTCCCTTCCTAAGTCCCTTTTGGAAAGCAGAGACCTTGCAGTCACTCTCTTCCCCTTACCCTCACCTTCATCAAACTTTACAAACCTCTATCTATCATTTATACTTATTTGTGAACGTGGCGATGAGTCAGTTTTAATTGTGGAATAAGAGACACTGCCCTATTCAAGAACGTTTCAGTCAATGGTCAGGAGGAACATGTTAGGAAAATCTAAGAACATGTAGTGTAGAAGGTGGAGGGCTCAGAGTATATCACAAATACATAAGGTCCTCTCAACAGCAGGGATGATTTGTCTTGTATTCAGGTCTCATTGTTCTCTAACAATGAGTCTATATTTCTACTTCATTATCAAAGAAATTTTACTAAGGCAGAATTCTCTACTTGCAGCATTTTCTCTCCTCCTTTCCCCTTCCTGTTTTGAAAGGCTTCTAACTATGTGGTCTGATCTGGAGATTGAAGAGCCTTAGGTGCAAGAGATTCTCTCAACTTACGAGGACAGTTCAGTTCAATAACCAAAAGTTTCACAATGATCAAAGGGCCCATGGATAGGATCATAGCTAAAAGGAGCTAATAATTTGTAAGTTGTGTTATTGCAAGGACTAGAGCTAAAAAGAGAAGTCCTCGGGCTTCTAAAAATTCCCCCTGCTTCCCCCAATTAATACTCAGCCAGAAGGGTTGGGACACTCAAGATTGCCTTCACCTCTGGCACTTCCTGCAACAACTCTTGCCAGTATGCACTAACACACAAATCTCAGCCCCTTGCAAGCTCTAAGGCCTGGGTTTAGAGATTTGTAACAGACTTGCAGCCTGATGCTGCCTGGAACCCCAATGGCATGAGTTCTATCAGCAGAACAGCAGGGACTTCTCAGAAAGTCCAACAGAGACAGGATTTACAGTCAGATATCTGAAGATCCACATGGAGTAAAAGCAAGGGGATGAATGGCCTCATCCATGGTTTCTTGCCAAATGGGAAAAGCATGGCTCATCTTGGGAACATGGTTTTATGTAGAATTCTTTGGGCACAAGTCTAATTTGCCAATTTGTATTGAATAGATAACTGTGTAAAAATTATTGGTGGACAAGAAGTAATTCCTCATTCAAGACCCTATATGGTCCTACTTAAGCTTAATGAACACGACATCTGTGCTGGCGCTTTGATTGCCCAAGACTGGGTGTTGACTGCAGCTCACTGTTCCCTGTAAGTGCTTATTTTTTTTTGGGGGGGGGAGTCTGTGGGGAATGGAAACACTAATTCAAGAGTAAGCTGGGCACAATGGCACATGCTGTAGTCCTAGCTAGTCTCTCAAGAGACTGAGGCAGAGGATTGCAAGTTCAAGGCCAGTTTTAACAACATAGTAAGACCTTTTCCCCTGTCTCTAGGGGGAAAAATAGAATTAAAAAAAAAAAAAAAAAAAAAAAAGAGTAAATCCCACTGAGCCACAGGAAGTTCACAGACATTTTTGCATCACTTTAGTCTTTGGAAACTTGTCTTAAGCCTGAAGGAGGTTAAATCCAGGCTTAGAGAATCAAGCCAAGAAACAGCATCTACAAGCTCTTCTGGCTGGTGTCCACTAGAGTCACCAGGTACAGGTGCTACAGAGCTTTGCTTCTGGTCATGACTTAATAGGTAGACTTGGCCACAGCACAGAAAGGTGACATTTTCAGTGTTCCCTCAGGGGTCTAGGGGCAACTCTCAAGGAGAGAAAGCTGTTCCAGTGCCTTCCAGTATGCCTCAGTGAATTCCTCCCACACCTCTAGCTGTCTCTCAACTCCTGTTGACCACTACCTTCAAACCTCTTCCCTGGTCTAGTCTTTCTTCCACTCCCTAAATCAAGCCTTTTTAACCTGGGCAGTCCAATATGATAGCCACTATCCATAGGTGGCTATGTAAGTTTAATCAAAGTTAAATAAAATTTTAAATTTAGTTTTTCAATCACATTAGAAATATTTCAAGTCCCCAAAAGCCACATCTGGTGGGTGGCCACTATATTGAGCAGTTCAGATCATCAAAGTACACTCAACTGGAAAGCCACGTTCTAATGTCTTAAGTGAGACCAATGTCATCTACTGTGACGGGGAAAAGGCAATGTGGATATCTGGTTGGTGTCATTTATGCTAGGCTGTGAATGTGATAAACTTAATCAGAGCCAGACCCTAGTAATTAAGGGAGTCGCATCCAACATGGCTGACCATGGTTGGAATCTTGAACCAGGAGACTTGAAAAACAACCCAGGCACATGTGTGTACATACCCAAAACCTTGGCAGGTGGAGAAATGGAAAAGGGATTGTGGCATAATCATATCCCATTGAGGGGTGTATTCTCCCTCTCTCTCTGTCTCTCTGTCTCTCTCTGGTAAGCAAATATGCCTTCTGATGATTAAAAGCATTAATTATGAACAAGTCATAGAGTATTTTGACTTTGTTAACCAAAATGCCCCTTACCACAGAGTAAGACAAGGAAAAATGTCTGAGCCCTTCCTTCAGACTACTATCCCTACAACATGCACATGCCCAATGCCATGCAAACAGGGTCCTCCACCGAGCAGTCTGTTTCTGAAAGCTCTCCCATTTAGGATGAATCTGTTGTTCTTTTACAAAGAATCTTTTGGTGCATTACTCTGTAACTATCAGATGCCTGTCGTTTCTGTCTCCGGACTACTGAGACCTTTGCTCTTTCGTAATCTGCAACCCAATTCTCCATCACAGCTGACAGAGAGCAGAGAGTAGGGAAGACAAGCACAAGACTCGGGTTGGCTGCCATGGAATGCTCTGACTTATCTCTCAATAAGCCTAGGTTAGCTTATTATAAATAAGTGAGTGGTGATGATGATGATGATGTGACAATGCAACTTATAAACACTTTACTTTTTACTCTTTAAAGCATATTTATTTTCTTCCTGAGCCAGAAGGCAGTATCTGCACAAGCATATTTACAAATGGGACAATGGAACTAGTCAGCACATAATATGTTCAGCTTCTGATTAAAGAATAAACCCAGTAAACAGTGTTGTGTCTGTTCTCAGGAACGCAAAGTCCCGAATCATTCTTGGGGCTCACTCAAGAACCAAGGAGGAGTCAGAAAAACAGATAATGTGTTTTAAGAAAGAGTTTCCCTACCCATGCTATGACCCAGAAACACATCAGGGTGATCTTAAGCTTCTACAGGTACGTACCTTTGATATCCTTCTTAAAAGTCACAGGACCTCCTACAACCTGGCCATCTATATGAAAACATGTCTGTGGTGCCACTATTATTTACAAACTCACGAAAAGAAATCCCTGAGAGTGAGCTCGAATTTAAGTAAAAATGTTAATATTGATCTCATTCTGTTCATTCTTTGTGCTTACCTTCCAACAGCTGGACAAGAAAGCAAAAATTAACAAAAATGTGGCTATCCTTCCTCTACCTAAAAGGGGGAATGATGTGGATCCAGGAATTGAGTGTCGAGTTGCAGGGTGGGGCAAGTATCACAATAAGTCCCCTCCGTCTGACTCTCTGAGAGAAGTCAACATCACTATCATAGATAGAAAAACCTGCAATGATCGAAAGCACTATAATTTTACTCCTGTGATTGGACTGAATATGATTTGTGCTGGAAGCCCCAGAGGTGGAAGAGACTCATGTAATGTAAGTAAAATAATATTTCGCATTTCTTCGATTGGAGTAAGCCATGCAGATAGGGAAAATGAACTGTCATGCTTCGTTTTGTCATAGCATTGGCTTCTGTGGTGTCCTGACGCTTTTTAAAAGAAGTTTGCTAAAACTCCATTGAAATGAATGCACTCAGCTCAAGTGAATTGTTAATTGAAAATAAAAAGTTCACTGCTAATGCATAGGTTGATTATCTTCTTGATTTTACATCAAAACCACTGGGAGGGACCAGCAGATGGCATAATGGTTATGTTGCTGGACTCCCATGTAGTCAACCATGATTTGAGTCCCAGACCGGCAGCTTAAAACTCACTCCAGGCACGTGTACATGCATGCCCAAGAGTCCAAGAGGAGACTGGAGGAGAAGGGATTATGGCATGGCCATCCCCTCTAGGGATGATGTCTTGTTTTCTGTTTCTCTAGCGAGCACATGCACCATGCACCCTATAGCAAAAAATCTTTAAATAAATAAATAAATAAATAAATAAAAAACACCTTGGGAAACTATGTTTTGTCTGATTTTCATATTAACATATATAGAATTTGGTACCCTTTCCCCACCTGAGGACTTCCAAAAAATCTCTCTGCCATCTTACCTGGGCATGTCTGAAATGCTTGCCATTCCCAAGTGTGGCTGAAGATCTCAGGCTAGACTCCATACTTCCTAGAGCCAATCTCAATTCCCAGTAACAACAGCCAGGCACGACTTACACAAGAGAATTAAGTAGCACTCCATCCCAGAGTCCCCTGAGAAGGGGTGGACAGGGCCCTGGCTTAAAGACAGGATTAGGGGACCGGCAGGTGGCATAGGGGTTGGGGTGCTGGACTCCCACATTTTGATCATGATTTGGGTCCCAGACCTGGTGGCTTGCTTTCTCACTTTCCCTTTCTCTCTCTCTCTGTCTCTCTCAGGTCAAATTTTAAAATAATAACAAATAAAAGTAAATAAATAAGCTTAAAAAAAGAACAAAAAAGACAGGAGCAGGAGAAATACTTCACATATGTTTAAGCTCTGAGTAGCAGCTTGTCATTTCTCATCTTTCCAAAGACCTTATGAAGTCTCAGCTGAAAAGAAGTATACAGTGCTCATAATTTCAGTTATCAGAGACTGAGAGAGTCAGAGGTCTCTGTTCTTCCCAGGAGCTATGTATTGCTTTAGGACCAAGGCTGGCCAAATCCCAGGAAAAGATGACATTTGTCATTAGCACCCTCCTACTTGATCTTTTCTTTCCTTCCCTTCAGCCATATTCCCAACCCGCATCTACCACTCTGGACACTCAGAACCTTCATGTTTTTAGAACCCATATCCACATTCTTGAAGCCAGTAGCACCCTAAGATGCAAGTCTCCCACACTCAACAGCCACCTTCTACCATCGAAGCTTAGTAATCCTTTCCCATTCTCTGAGTGCCCTAGAATCGGTGCTGATGCATTAAATCTAAAGAACTAAATCTATGAATGTCAGGCATTGTAATAGGCAGGAGACAGACAGACCTGCCCAGCCCATGGTTCTCACATATTGACAGTTCCTTACCTCATACACTCACAAGGCTAACTTTTGCCTGAAAGAGGTTGCTTTGGTTTATTTCTTTGGGAAGGTAATTATCCGTTAGTGGAACCAGAAAATGGTTTTCATTCTTTGCCCCAATGCACAGTCTGCATTTGGCTGTTTCACCCCTTGAGTTATTAAGCATTTTGATAATGTAACAAATAAACAAAAGGATTTCCTTTCTGAACAGAGAAGCAGTCGCAAAACTAGTGATAACAGGGGCCAGCAGGTGACTTGGTGTTTAAGGAGCTGGTCTTCCCTATGGCTAAACATGGTTCAAGTTCTGGACTCACCAGCTTAAAAATCACACTGGGCATATGGGCATGTGTGTCCAAAATTCCAAGAGGAGACTGGAGGAGAAGAGATTGTCATGTGGCCACACCCCCCCGGGGGGGTTGATTTCTCACTATCTTTCTCTCTGTCTCTCTTCACTGAGAGCACACACTCTATGGCAAAAACCTTAAAAAAATTAGTGATCATAAATAACTCATTTATGAGTTTCATTTTCAATTTTCACCTGTTCATAAATAACTCAAGTGAGACGATTTAAAAATATTGAAATATTTTTAAACATTTCATGTTCTAAACACTCATGTTCAATTAAGTCAAGGTTGGTCTTAATATTAATATTAAATGCTATGTAAGTTCTTTCATTTCATTAACGTCATGTTCGACACTGATCCTACCCCCATCTTGTTTTCCCCAGGGCGATTCTGGAAGCCCTTTGATATGTCAGGGTGTTTTCCGTGGTGTCACTGCCTTTGGCCTTCCAGGGAAGTGTGGAGTTCCTCAATGGCCTGGCGTCTACACTCTTCTCTCAAAAAAGTATCTCAACTGGATAATTAAGACTATGAAAGGAGCAGTTTAGATAACTGTATTCCATTTCATTTGCTGTCACTTCTTACTTTTATTATAAATAAAATAAATTTGTATGACTGTACCTATTTGTCTCCTATAACATTAGCAGTCAAATCTCCACTGGCAAAGTGAAGCAAAGTCATAGGAAAACCTGTGGATAAGGTCAGGGGGAGGTTAGGGGGCCACTGTCACCTAGGTCATCCACACATCAAGTGGCATGGGAATGTCGCCTGCATCATTCACTTCATTATCTCAGCAGAAATGACACCAAAAGTATGTCTGCTAACTAACAAGGAGAGTTAATGTTCTGTTCTTGATCTGCATAAGAGGTACACAGTTATCTATTCATAAATTAAAAATTCACCATACTATGTACTTAAGACTTATATGCTTTGCTTGATGTGAATATTACTTTAATTTTTTAATTAAAAATTTTAAAAATCATATCTAGCCAAGCCTTCTGTTTTTGCATATTACCTGGAAGTTTACTTTTCTTTCTTTTTCTTTTTACGGGGGAAGGTTGTCATTTTTCTTTTTATTCTTTCAGCATTCTGAACATTGACATAGAGGTAAAAGAAAATGACTGAAATTTAAATGTCAAAGAACTTTTTGCAATTAAATCCACAGTTGTAATACATTTATTGTACTCACATGTCAGTTAAAAACTCACCAACTGCGGCCAGCAGGTGGCATAGTGGCTAAGGGCACTGGACTCCCATGTGGCCAACTGTGGTTCAAGTCCGGACCTGGTGGTTTGTTTTCTCTCTCTCTCTCTCTCTCTCTTTCTCTCTCGCGCGCATGTGCGCGCGCACGCACGTGTGCCCCCACCCCTCTCTTGCTAAATTTTTTTAAAAAGTGAATAAAGTTGGGAACCAGCAGTTAGCATAATGGCTATGTCGCTGGACTCCCACGTAGTCGACCGCGGTTCGTGTCCTGGACCCGGTGGCTTAAAACTCACGCCGGGCGCGTGTGCGTGCGTGCCCAAGATCCCGAGAGGAGAATGGAGGAGAAGGGATTGCGGCGTGACCATCCCCCCTGGGGGGTGATTTCTCGCTTTCTGTCTCTATGTCTCTCTCTGTCTGTCTGGCGAGCGCACGCGCCCTACAGTGAAAATCTCTCAAAAAAAAAAAAGTGAATAAAGTTAAATAAAATAATATTTTTTTAAATTCACCAACTATTATGAAACAGGACAAATCATATCACAAAAGAGCCAAAAATAGAAAAGAATTTCACAAAAAATATCCAGCTATGAAAACTATTCCTCTCCGTCTTCACATCCTCCTCTTCTGTGTACTTATGTACGATGCATTGTTTCCATGTCTGAACACGTTCCTGTACTTACCCTTCAGCTGCCCGTTCACATACTCTTCTGTCTGCTCCAGGGCTATGTTCATGCAGCCATCCAAACCAGCCAGGACCACTTGATAATCCCCTCCAGAATTTAATTTTACCACAACTGGCTGCCCAATGATTTGCTTCAAGAAGTCACCAGGGGTTTGCTTCTGCAAACTCACTGTAACGATCTTGGGAGGCAAGAAACCTGAGTTCTAATCCCAGCTCTGCTACTTAATTACCTGTGCAACTTGGACAACTCATCCTTTCACCTCTCATGGCCCAGCTTCCTCATCTCAAGGCCAGGATAAAGAACCCGCAATCCCAGTGCCACACAAGCCCCTCTTTTTTGGTTGTTTTTATAAAACCATTAGTTTAGGGGCCAGTGGGTGGCATGTTGGTTAAGGCACTGCACTCCCACATGGTGGACTGTGGTTTGAGACCCAGACCTGGTGGGTTGCTTTCTCATTTTCTCTATTTGTTGTAGTGCCCTATAGCAATTAAAATAATAATAATTAATTAATTAATTAATTAATAAAATTAGTTGAAAGAAGAGTATGTGAGTTAACTCCATACTCTAGTAGTTAAAGGAGCCAGATCACTTATGGCCAACCATAGCTTGAATCCTGGCCCCAGCAGCTTGAAAAACAATCTGGATACATGTGTGTATGTGCCCAAAATCCTACCAGGATGGGGAAATGAAAGAGAAAGGATTGTGGTGTGACCACACCCTTTCTTTCTCCTCTACCTGTTCATCTCTGGAGAGTGCACACACCCTCTGACAATTAAAACATAGACGAATGTGTATGCAGAAAACAATCACATTGTTAGTTCTTTGTGGCCTAGAACTTTCTAAGGCAAGAGTTACTAGCACTACCAAGCAAATCTTATAAGTTAAGAAAACAGAGAGAAGAAAATAATATATTAACAAATTAGCACTCATTTGGCAAGAGTGTCTTAACTCTTCTTGTATCTGCTATTTCATTTTATAATAAAAATTTTTTAATTATTTTATTTAACTTTATTTATTTATTTGCTTATTTATTTATTTATTTATTTATTTATTTTAATTTGACCAGAGAGGAACAGAGAGTGAGAGAGACAGAATGAGAAAGCAAGCCACCAAGTCCAGGACTCGAACCACAGTCAGCCGTGTGGGAGTCCAACACCCTTAACCACCATGCCACCTGTCGCCGCCCCCCAGTACTATTCCATTTTTTGTTTGTTTGTTTGTATTTGATTTATTTATTTCTTTCATGAGTGAGGAAGAGAAAAATAAGAACCTCAACAGGGTTCCATGCTTAAATTCCTTTCAGCATTCACAAACAGCCAGAACCCTGGGCATGTACCCAGCACATAGAGTCAACAGGGAACCAAACCCACACCCTCCATATGGAGCTAGCTTCACCTGAGCAACACATTACACTGGACCACTACACTAGGCCTTGTTCCACTTTTTTATTTAAACAGATTATTTTTTTCTATAGGGTGCATGCGCTCACCAGACAGAGAGACAGAAAGACAGAGAAAGAGAGAGACAGAGAGCAAGAAACAACTCCCGAGGGGGATAGCCATGCTGCAATCCCTTCTCTTCTGTTCTCTCAAAATTTTGGGCACGTACACACACACACCTGGTATGAGTTTTAAGCCCCCAGGTCTGAGACTTGAACCCCAGTCAACTACATGGGAGCCCAGCAACGTAACCATTATGCCATCTGCTGGTCCTCCCATTCCACTTTTTAATGATTGAAGTTTTTATTTTGTTTTATGCATATGTCAGGGGGAGGGGATAAAGGAGTGAGTATGAGCAAAACAGTAATGGCGAAAACATACATTTGTTCAATATTCAACCAGTATTTTGCTATCTGCATAGCATTCTAAGAAGTACCAAAAAAATAAAAATTAAAAAAGTATGCTTCCTCAACTTCTTGGTTGAATCATCTAGGGAACAACTAAGCATATTAAAACTAAAACCATAGTAGCAAGAGATTTTTTTTAAATAACTACAATAGTGGAAATAGTAGATAGATTAGTGGTTACATCACTGGACTCCCACATAGTCGACCATGGTTCAAGTCCCAGATCCAACAGCTTAGAACTCACTTTGGATGTATGTGTGTGTGTGTGTGTGTGTGTGTGTGTGCCCAAGATCCTAAGAGGGGAATAGAGGAGAAGGGACTGTGGCATGGCCATCCCCCATGGTGGGGAATTTCTCCCTTTCTGTCTCTGTCTCTTTGGCAAGTGCATGTGTCCTAGAGCAAAAATCTCTCCCATAAAAAAAATTTTTTTTTAATAACCACAGTAGTATATTATTATCAAATAAGTGATATAGACTAATGCCAAGAAGTCACACCCAAGTAACATCATTTCAAAGCTCTTCCTGGAGGGGCCAGCAGATGGCGTGGTTGTTGGAGAGCTAGACTCACACATGGCCAACCTCAGTTGGAGTCCTGAAACTTGTTTTCTCCCTTTCTCCCTTTCTCCCTTTCTCTCCCTCTCTCTCTCTCTCTCTCTCTCTCTCTCTCTCTCTCTGTTTTTCTCTGGTGACTACATGTGCCCTGTAGCAAGTTTAAAATAATGATAATAATGATAAATAAAACCAAATAAATAATTCTAAGAAAAAAAAAGTACTTCCTGCAGAGATTAGGACTTAGGCAGGTGTGTAAGAAAAGAAAGAGAAGAGCTAGAATTCTAGATTAGAAGAACAGCACTAACAAATGTACCAAGACAAGAAATCACAAGACTTAGCCCCAAAGGTTAACTTAGAGAGGAACAGGAATTAACATTAGTAAGACAGGACAGTGAACTGCTCAAGATGGAAGGAATCTTAGTGGTGATCAGATCCAAATTCCTATTCTTGCAGATGTTTCAGCACAAGGTTACACAGTCTGTTTATAGCAGAGCCAAGGCAAGAACAAGTCCCTGAACTTCATTCAGGTCCTGGGCTCAGGACTCCAAAGGTTGAGGCCAAGGGAGAACAGCAGCAGGGAGTCACTGAGAGTTTATGGTCAAGGGGCTGATCTGTCTGCATGGTGCTTTTAGAAGTTCTACCCGGCAGTTGTACAGAGACCCAAGACGACTATAGACAGAAGAACCAGCTAGAAGGCAATTACCACAGATTGGCCATAAGTATTTAAGATATAATGGAGCAAAACAAGAGAGAACAGGGATGAAAGTTTGTTTTTGAGGGGCTAGCAGGTGGTGTGGTGGTTAAGGGCTCCGGACTCCCACATGGCTGATCATGGTTTGAGTCCTAGACCTGATAGCTTGCTTTCTCACTTTCTCTCCCTCTCTGTTCCCCTCTGGCCAAATTTAAATAAATAAATAAATAAATAAATAAATAAATAAATAAATAAAAGAAAATAATTATTTCAAAAAGAAAAAAAAGTTTTTGTTGTTTATTTTATTTTATTTCTTCTATGTGTAAGAGAGGTACAGAGAGTGAGAAAGAGATGCCCTGAACAAGGTCCTCATGCCGTGAACCATCCCCAGCTTCACCCAGCCTAGATCACGGATAGTACACACCTGGAAGATTCAGGGAGACCTCCAGATGCAAACCCAGGATCTTTCCATGTGGGTCCAGCATGGAACAGCATTGTGTTACCACTGAGCCACCACTGCTGGCCCCCAGAGGAGCTAAGTTTGAGAGGCAATAATATGCATTCTTAACACACAACTGCCTGGCATACAGTACAATTCTAATAAGTATTTTCCAAGTGAATGGGTTGTGTTTTCAATGTATTAATATTGGGTTAAAAATAGGAAGGGATTTCAAAAGGGAAATATCCAGAGGCAGTCTGAAACATGAGGTTGGAGTTAGGGAGAAAAGTCAGATGGCAAAAAAGTGTTTAGGAGTCCTTGGTATCAAGAGTGGAATGTCTGGCTTCTGAGCAGGAACTCTATATCCCAAGCAACAAAAGAGAGAATTAAAAATGGGTGATGTTGAGAAAGGCAAGAAGATCTTTGTTCAGAAGTGTGCCCAGTGCCACACCGTGGAAAAGGGAGGCAAGCACAAGACTGGCCCACATCTCCATGTTCTGTTTGAGCAGGAGACAGGTCAGGCCCCTGGATTCTCTTACACAGATGCCAACGAGAACAAAGGCATCTCCTGGGAGAGGACACACAGCTAGAATATTTGGAGACTCCCAAGAAAGACATCCCTGGGACAAAAATGATCTTCGCTGGCATTTTTAAAAAGTTGGAAAGAGCAGAGTTGACAGCTTATCTTTAAAAAGCTACTAATGGGGGCTGGCTGGTGGCATCATGGTTTAGGTGCTGGACTCTCACATGGCCAACTGCAGTTTGAGTCCCAGACCTGGTGGCTTGCTTTCTCACTTACCCTTTCTCTCGCTCTCTCTGGCTCTCTCTGGTCAAATTTACAAAGTAATAATAACAAATGGAATTAATAAATCATTATTTTTTTAAAAAAGCTATTAATGAGGGGCTGGCAGGTGGCATGGTGGTTAAGACTGCTGGACTCCCACGTGGTCAACCACGGTTCAAATCCTGGACATGGCAGCTTGCTTTCTCTCTCCCTCTCTCTCTTTCTGTTCCTCTTTAGTCAAATTAAAATAAATAAATAAATAAAGCTAAATAAAATAATTCTTTAAAAAAAAGCTACTAATGAGTAATAAGTGGCCACTGCCTTATTTATGACAAAACAGAAATGCCTCACCTTTTTTATGTGTGCCATATGTCAATTGATCTCCTCCACCAGAACTCAGATCATGAATGGCTGACAGGATATTTTTGTTGGACAGTTTCAATTTATGTAAGACTGGCTTATGGTTAAATGAATATTATGGGTTTTTAAAATTTTGATAGTAATTTCAGTTCAGTAAGTGCTATCACTATTTGCCCTTTCTAAAGATACAATTGATAATTCATTAGTGATTAATGAGATGATGAATACCATCTCAAAACTCACTGGAGTTTTTTTTTTAATTTAGGCTTATATGTAACTCGTTATATAACTATATACATGCTGGTAAAATCCCCTCACTTCTCAAAACCAAGCAGACTCAACTGTGTGTGAATTTGTGCCCGTTAACCTACTAAAGGCAAGGGCCGAAGATAAGGTAGTGATGTCTACTTTATATATTTGGTCATAACTCTGCCAATCCAATTAGAATTCCCTATATCAAAAAGAAACACTGCCTTTTACTTATTGAAAGACACTTTAGTGTGGTTTGTGTATACTATCAAATAAAGAATATATAACACTTTACATATTTATAAATGATTTGTAAGGTCAGATGCTTTTGAAAGTCAGTGTGACGAGATTTAGTAGCAAGTAAATTTTACCTTTGAATTCTATTATCTAAGTCAGATTAAGTTACGTTTCAGGATTGTTAGACAACTGTTCAAAACCACATAGAAACTAAAGAACTACTTTATATATGTGATTGGTAATGGTGTCTTTGCCAATTTATTCAAAGGATTAAAGTAGAGAAGCTATTTCATCAGCATAGATTTGTAAATTACACCATCATAAGGTTTAAGATAATTAAAAACCAAATGACATATTTTCAAAAAAAAAAAAAAAACCTGCCTACCAGCCCAGCCAGTAGCATGGTAGTTAAGGTGGCTGGATCCAACATGGCCACCAGCAAGTTCAAGTCTTAGATGCGATGGCTTGAGAAACACACAGGGCGCATGCACTTGCATGGCCAAACTCCTGAGAGGAAAATAAAGAAGGGACTGTGGTGTGGCCAGAGCCCTGGAGAATGATCTGTCACTTTCTCCACCCCACCCCCACCCGACGAGCATGCACATCCTATAGCAAAACATAAAGAAACTTTTTAAAATCCTTGCTATCGATATTATTCTGCCTAAAGCAATAAAAAATAAATTTCTAAAAAGAAAAAGGGGAGGAAAAAGAGGCGAGGGAGGAAGAGTAAGAAAGAGGAAAGCAGAGAGTGAAGAAAGTCAAGGCCATTTCTGGGAAATGCCATGGGAGAACACAAGCAAAGTGACCGAGGAAGGTCTGGAGATTGCGCATTTGCATCGGAGAATACTGCCTCTCGCCTGATACACATAATAACCCCTAGAGACGAGGCCAGTGTCACTGTGTCCACTCTTAGAAATGAGAAAGCTGCAGCCTGGAGGGACTGGGTGGGTGGCTAGCCGCATTTCCATACAGAAGCTGTCCCATCTGCCGCCGCTGAAAACACCCGGGTCTGGTCTGGACTCAAAGCCAGGTGCAGCACTCTGCCTCTGTGGCCTGGGGAAAGAAGGAAAGACAGTTTGTATCCCACTGCTGGATTTGAGGCTGTTGCAGAGGGCCATGGGCCACCCAGGGTGGGGCCACACATAGGGCTCCTCACCCCCAGGGATCAGTGCTGGCTCCTGCTGAGCTGTGATGGGCAGACACCTGTCAGGACTCACGTGGGCCAACTCGTGAGGGGCTGAGAGTCTGCTTCACTCCTCGCCCTCGGCCGTATCCTGTGGCTACCATAACAAACTGCCACAAAGCAGGCAACTTAAAACACTATGGAAGTACTATACGTGCTTAGCATACAGCTGCCTAGCAAATAGTGTGATTTTTCTTTTCTATTGAGAGAGAAATTTGCTGAAGAGACAGACAGAAAGCAAGAAATCACCATCCATGGGGGATGGCCACACTGCAATCCCCTCTCCTCCATTCTTATCTCAGGATTTTGGGCATGCACACACAAGTGCCCAGCAGGAGTTTCAAGCCACCGGATCCAGGGCTCAACCTACTGCTAGTCACATGGGAGTCCAGTGGCTTAATCACTATGCCACCAACTAGTCCCCATGGTGTGACTTTAATAAGTAATTTCCAAGTGAATAAATTGTGTCTTCAATGTATTGAGACTGAGCTAAAGACAGGAAAGGATCTCAAAAAGGAAATGTCTGGAGGCAGTCATTCTAGAATCTAGAAACATGAGGTTCTAGAATGATTCTCTAGTGCTTGTCAGGATGGGAAGACTGAAATGAAGATGTCAGTAAGGCTTCCCAGGGTAGGGAGGCTCTGGGGGATTCTTGGCTTGGTCCCTTTCTAGTTTCCAGCTGATGCTGGCAGCCCTTGATCTGTGGACACATCACCCTGGTCTCTGCCTCTGGTCATGTTGCCTCCTCATCTGTGTGTCTGTTCTCTGTGTGTCTCTTAGAACCCTTGTCATTGGATTCAGAGCCCACCTGGATAATCCACCATGATCTCATCTCAAGATTCTTATTACATCTCCAGAGACTCTTTCTCCAGATAAGGTCATATTCATAGGTTCCACAGAATCTGATGTGAACACTTTTGGGAGACCACTTTCTTAGCCTACCACACCACTTGTGCCCTGTATCATCGTTAGTTCTGTCTTCTATAATCCACCAACACCCACCCAACCACCCCCTCCCACAAAAGTCATCGCCTTGAGACCCAGGTTTCAAAAGACTAATCAGATCAACTGATAGAGCTTATTGAAGAAGGACCCCAAAATCACTCCCAAAAAACAAGCGTAAAACTCACTTCTGGAATTCTAGAGACAATGCCCATCCTTCTATTACCTAATTGATTATTTCCAAAGAACATTCTGTGACAATAGTTCTATGTGAGGTTACTAGGTCTTAAAAATGAAAGAGTACTATACGTGCTTAGCATACAGCTGCCTAGCAAATAGTGTGATTTTTCTTTTCTATTGAGAGAGAAATTTGCTGAAGAGACAGACAGAAAGCAAGAAATCACCATCCATGGGGGATGGCCACACTGCAATCCCCTCTCCTCCATTCTTATCTCAGGATTTTGGGCATGCACACACAAGTGCCCAGCAGGAGTTTCAAGCCACCGGATCCAGGGCTCAACCTACTGCTAGTCACATGGGAGTCCAGTGGCTTAATCACTATGCCACCAACTAGTCCCCATGGTGTGACTTTAATAAGTAATTTCCAAGTGAATAAATTGTGTCTTCAATGTATTGAGACTGAGCTAAAGACAGGAAAGGATCTCAAAAAGGAAATGTCTGGAGGCAGTCATTCTAGAATCTAGAAACATGAGGTTCTAGAATGATTCTCTAGTGCTTGTCAGGATGGGAAGACTGAAATGAAGATGTCAGTAAGGCTTCCCAGGGTAGGGAGGCTCTGGGGGATTCTTGGCTTGGTCCCTTTCTAGTTTCCAGCTGATGCTGGCAGCCCTTGATCTGTGGACACATCACCCTGGTCTCTGCCTCTGGTCATGTTGCCTCCTCATCTGTGTGTCTGTTCTCTGTGTGTCTCTTAGAACCCTTGTCATTGGATTCAGAGCCCACCTGGATAATCCACCATGATCTCATCTCAAGATTCTTATTACATCTCCAGAGACTCTTTCTCCAGATAAGGTCATATTCATAGGTTCCACAGAATCTGATGTGAACACTTTTGGGAGACCACTTTCTTAGCCTACCACACCACTTGTGCCCTGTATCATCGTTAGTTCTGTCTTCTATAATCCACCAACACCCACCCAACCACCCCCTCCCACAAAAGTCATCGCCTTGAGACCCAGGTTTCAAAAGACTAATCAGATCAACTGATAGAGCTTATTGAAGAAGGACCCCAAAATCACTCCCAAAAAACAAGCGTAAAACTCACTTCTGGAATTCTAGAGACAATGCCCATCCTTCTATTACCTAATTGATTATTTCCAAAGAACATTCTGTGACAATAGTTCTATGTGAGGTTACTATTTTTTAAAGAGTGTTAGAAGGGCCAGCAGGTGACATGGTGAAAGGAGTAGGTATACACTATTCTACTCACAAAGGAGACATATCTTAGGTACTCAGGGCTCTCCATCTGCATACTTCACTCTGGACACTCCCCTTTCTGCCTCTGTGTGCATACACACACATATACACACACAACAGTGAGAGGTGCCCCCAAGGAGCCTGGAGTTGGCCCTGGTTGTGTTAATACATGGAGAAGATTTGATTCATAGATACAATGCATCCCCCCTATTTTATATTTTTAGGAATATCAAATCTCTTGCCCAAGGCCAAACAACTAACTAATGGCAGAGCCAAAACTTGAATCCAATTCAATGCTCTAACCATTGAGACCACACTCCAAACCAAAGTGAAGAATCTTTTTTCTATTCTAAGTCACTGTCCATTATTTTATAAAAATTAATTAATCAAAGCCAAGTAGGGACCAGTAGACAGTATAATGGTTACATTGCTGGACTCCCATGTAGTCGATCACAGTTTACATCCCAGACCTAGAGGCTTAAAACTCACACCAGGTATATGTGCATGTGTGCGTGCCCAAGATCCCAAGAGGAGACTGGAGGGGAAGGGACTGTAGTGTGACCATCCCCCCGGGGGCTGATTTCTCATTTTCTGTCTCTCTTGTCTGTCTCTGTCTCTCTTTCTCTGGTATGTGCTCTATAGCAAAAATCTCTCTAAAAAAAAATAAATAAAGCCATGTAAATGAAAAGCAGCTCAATTTAGTTGTTTTAAAAGGATAATATAGAACATCACACTGCTTTTAAGTTAAACCTAAGAAAGAAAAGTCTACCCAATAAATAGACGATAAATATGTGTTCTTTCTTTTATTAAGATGAAGAGGAAGAGAAAGAGGGAAGAGGAATAACCAGTAAAGAATTCTAAATCTTTTTCAAGCAGGCTTTGAGAACTACCTTGACTTAAAACTGGGATAGTTTCTTGTAGACCTTGTTAGGAAACTGACATTTGGACCAGAGACAATGCATTCTTGAAGTTCTTCTCTCACATCAGTGACAATCTTAACTTACTAGATAGTAACAAATGTCATGTTTATCTGAGACAAAGGTCCTCTTTTGGGGTTTACATCTCCAAGTTCCAGAAACACTGTCACTATAAGCATTGAAAGTTTTGTGGGTTTTTAAATGTAGCTATAGTCATAGATGAGAACACACAGGGGATTCCAAAAAATTCATGGAAAATAAAATCAAAGTATGAATTTATGTTGATACAGAAACATTCAAAAGTCATGCATAGTTTTTTTCTTTATATGTATTTTCCATTAACTTTTTAAAGACCTTTCACATATACATGTGCTATGGACAGATGAAGGGCCAGATCTCACCTCTCAGCTAGGAAGTTACCTACTCCTATTTTAAAGCTTAGAAACTGCAGCTCTTTGGTAGATGGGAACAATCAGACTCTTTCTTCTGTAGTCAGGTGGGTGAAGCTTCTCTAACTGAAATTTCCTCCCAACGGAATTATAACAGGATGAGGGTTAGTAAAGGTGCGATCATAATCTAGAATAGTTTTTTCCCAAACTTTTTGACCACAACCCACAGTTAAAACTATAAGGAAGCCAGCAGGTGGTGGGGTGGTTGAGGTACTGGGCTCTCGTATGGCCAACCGTGGTTCGAGTTCCGGACCTGATGGCTTGCTTTCTTACTTTCTGTCTGGCTCTGGTGAGTGCATGTGCCCTATAGCAAATTTTAAAATAATAATAAATTAAATAAATTTTTAAACTACATTGTATGTAATGACCCCATGCATGGGCCTGTATATAACTATAACAAAAGGTCACAAAATAATACCGGGTTTTTCAGTCTATTCTTTACAAAAAAAAAAAAAAAAATACTGGCCTTGACTCATTACATTCAGAATCCAGTGGGTCACAACTCCCAATTTAAAAGGCCCTGATTCCACATATCAATCACTAGACTATATGTCAAGAGCCCTGTCCTTGACCCACATTAGAAATTAAATATTTAAGCAGGACCATGCCACATGGCAGTGCCCTGTGATATGTTTGGGAAATCCCAATGCTATAGCCTCTTTTCAATGGTTTGAATATGGTTTGTCCCCAAAGCTCATGTTGAGGAATGGTCCCAGTGTGGCAGCATTGGGAGGTGAGGAGTAATAGGAGGTGATTGGGTCATGAGGGTCCTACTGTTGTGAATGGATTCATGCCAATCTCTCAGAGAGGGTGCATTCTTATGGGAAAAAATGAGCTGGTGTAGAGCAGATTGTTACAAAAAAGCAAGCTGAATCTTTGTGTGTGCCCACTCACCATTCTCACACACATTGCGACCAGGTAATGCCACTTACCATTTTACAGCAGAGCATGAGGCTCTCACCAGATGTGGCTGCCCAAGCTTCACCTCCCCAGCCTCTAGAACTGTGAGCTAAATAAACCTCTTTTCTTTCTTTCTTTCTTTCTTTCCTTCTCTCCCTTTCTTTCTTTCTTTCTTTCCTTCTCTCCCTTTCTTTCTTTCTTCCTTTCTTTCTTTCTTTCTTTTTTTTATAACCCATACTATATCAAGCTTTCTGTTACAGCAACAGAAAATAGACTAACATACTCTTATTGGAGATTCACAATACACATAATATAGCCAAGTTTTGAGGGCTACTTAAGAAGGAAAAACTGTGGGACGAACAGATGGCATAATGGTTACGTTGCTGAACTCCCACATAGTCAACTGTGGTTCAAGTCCCAGATCCAGCAGGGACTGGATACCAGGTGGATGTGCAAGCATGCCCAAAATACCGAGAAGAGAATAGAGGAAAAGGGATTGCAGTGTGGCCATCGCCCTGGGGGGCGATTTCTCATTTTCTGTCTCTCTTTCTCTCTGTTGAGTGTACATACCCTGTGGCATTAAAAAAATAAATAAAAGAAAAACTGTATTCTTGTTTAACCTGGCATTTCCTAAGCATATTATTTATTCCAAGTGCCATCAAATTAATTCAAGTATCTACAATATGCTCCTACTTAGCTGCTAGAACTGAAATTTCATTTTTTTTTAAAAAAAGTGTTTTAAGGCTTGATTAAAAATATGTTGGGGGGACCAGCAGAGGGCATAATGGTTACCTTGCTGGACTCCCACATAGTCAACTACAGTTCAAGTTCTGGATGCAGCAAGTTAAAACTCATCCCAGATACATGTGTGTGCATGCCCAAAATCCCAAGAGCGGGATGGAGGAGAAAGGATTACAGCATGGCCATCCCCCCAGGGGGTGATATTTTCCTTTCTGTCTGTCTGTCTCTCTCTGCCTCTCCAACAAATGCATGCACCCTTTTAGCAAAAAATCTCTATTAAAAAAAAATTTATTCGATTGGAAGATCCAGGAATCTTATGCCTTATGATTTAAAATAAGGAAAGGAGGCCCAGCTTCAGTTGTACATGCTGGTTGACACTGCTACTCAGCAAGCTGTGGCCACATGGAAAACTCAGGCTCAATTTCCTGCCCACCTTTAAAAATGAAGCACAATGGGACCAGCACTTAGCGTAATGGCTGTGTCGCTGGACCCCCCTTTAGTCAACCACAGTTCAAGTCCTGGACCCAGTGGCTTAAACTCACACCGGGCGCATGGGCGTGTGTGCCCAAGATTCCGAGAGGAGAATGGAGGAGAAGGGATTGCGACGTGGCCATCCCCCCTGGGGGATGCTTTCTCGCTTGCTGTCTCCCTATCTCTCTGTCTCTCTGGTGAGCACACACACCCTGTAGCAAAAACCTCTCAAAAAAAAAAAAAAAAGAAAAACAAGAAGCACAATGACACATACCTATATTACCAGCTACATCAGAGGCTGGGGCAGGAGGATTGTGACATAGAAAGATCCTGCCCAAGATCACCACTGCATCACCCATACATGTATGCCAGGAGACGACTTGGTAGTTTTAGGTAATAAACAACTTAGATTCAGAAACACTCAACCACATACTCTCTGCAGTGGGGTGGAATAGAACTTTTTCCTTAAAAAAAGAAAAAGTGTGTGTGTGTGTGTGTGTGTGTGTGTGTGTGTAGGCCTTTCCCATAGTACAGTGGTTAAGCCTTATATATAGGGAGCTAGACCCCACATGGCCCATCATGATTCAAATCCCAGCCCTGGCAGCTTGGAAAATAGGCTGGACCTGTGTTTATGCATGCCCAGGATCCTGATAGGATAGGAAGGAGAAACAGAAGAAAAAGAATTGTGATGTGATCACACCCTCTCTCCCAAGTGTCCCCCCACACACATACACAAACACACATGTCCTCTGGGGGGAAAAAAAAAAATTTAAGTGATGATTCAACAAAAAAATGTGGAAAGGATCAACTCATACTTCACTTACACTAGGCTATCTAACAAAGTGGCTCTCTCAAGAGTTACCTATAGTCTTATTTGCCAGACCACACAGTATAACATCTAAAGAACATCCTGCAGCTGTTAGGCTGAGAGATTATTTTGAGGCTGACTGATAGAGGTAGGAAGTCTATCTGATGAGGGGTTTTGTTTGTTTGTTTGTTTTTTTGCTGCCAAATAACATTGTCAGAATCTCTGAAGAGTCATAGTATTATTATTACTTAATGTTGCATATTTTTCTTTTCTGTCTCCTCCCACAAAAGTGTAGGCTCCATGAGGGCAAGAACATTGTCTCTCTTATTTACCTGCATATCCCCAGCACCCCCAAAAGTGCCTGGCATGTAATGGATGCTTAATAAATAAATAGATTCCAGGGACTGATCAGGAGGCAGGGTTGAGTGGGGAGAGGAAGTGACAGGACATATAACCAGAGCTCTAAAACAGATTGGACGCTGGTGCTCCATTCACCAACCACTTTGTCTTCCTGTTCCTCAGCTCTGACTAGAAGGCTGCCTACTCACCTGGAGCCTCTTTAACATTCCAGATTGCACCTCCAAGGAATATCGAGCCCTGACGACAGGGCCTCAGTCTCCTTCCCCATCATGGAGTCTCTTTTTTTGTGTTTTTTGAAGAATTATTTAATTATTTGTTGTTGCTCTTATTGTTATTTTTAATTTTGCTATAGAGCATGTGCACTCACAAGAGAGAGAGGGAAAGTGAGAAAGCAAGCACTAGGTCCAGGACTTGAACCACAGTTGGCCACATGGGAGTCCAGCACTTTAACTACCATGCCACCTGCTGGTGCCCGCATCATATGGTCTTACTCTTAAAAAGTACCTAGTAAACATTTGTAGGATGGGGAACCAGCAGTTAGTGTAATGGCTATGTCACTGGACTCCCACGTAGTCGACCGCGGTTCGTGTCCCGGACCTGGTGGCTTAAAACTCATGCCGGGCGCGTGTGCGTGCATGCCCAAGATCCCGAGAGGAGAATGGAGGAGTAGGGATTGTGGCGTGACCATCTCCCTGGGGAGGGGATTTCTCACTTTCTGTCTCTAATGTCTCTCTCTGTCTGGCGAGCGCATGTGCCCTATAGTGAAAATCTCTCAAAAAAAAAACATTTGTAGGATGAAGTTGAGAAAAAATACAGTCTGCCTTGAAAGGATGAATGCTTAACAGAGAAAACCTCTTCATATACGACAAGGTCTCACCTGTCAGGTCTCCTTGCTTTCCACACATTACAGCATTGCTGCGTTTTCTTTAAAGTAAAATAACTGTGATGCTAACTCCACAGTGCACACGGTCCAAAAACTGTCCGAGATCACCACTGCATCACTCATACATGTATGCAAGGAGAAGACCATTTTAGGTGATGAACGATCAGATTCAGAAACTCAACTGCACACTCTCTGAGATGGGGTCAGACAGGACTTTTTCCTTTGATGAAATAGATACTTCAAAAAATCAAAGAAGGGACCAGCAGTTAGCGTAATGGCTATGTCGGTAGACTCCCATGTAGTCGACTACAGTTCAAGTCCTGGACCCAGTGGCTTAAACTCAGGCTGGGCACATATGCGTGTGTGCCCAAGATCCCAAGAGGAGAATGGAGGAGAAGGGATTGCAACATGGCCATCCCCCCTGAGGGGTGATTTCTCTCTTTTTGTCTCTCTGTCTCTCTCTGTCTTTCTGGTGAGCACACGCACCCTATAGCAAAACCTCTCAAAAAAAAAAAAAAAAAGAAAAGAAATCAGAGAACAAAATCTTTTATTTGGGGGCTTTTCCTGCCAATGACAACTCACTTTGCTGTAGTTACATGACATTGTACTCACCCATTAACTCACCAGAAAAGCTACCTGACCTGGACAGAGTGGGACAGGTCCACAGAATCACATTGTTCTTAGGAGCACCTTGGCCAGTTGCAATCTCCTTTGTCTTAGGTAGCCAGACTAGGGAACAAATCTGTAGTGATGACCCAAAAAATACAGAATTATGGCAATCTCTGATACATTATGAATGCGGCTAAACTGATTCTAGGTAGTATGTTCTGGCTACTGCCTATTCTCCAGGGTTACCTGGGGTTAAGGTGTTAAAGGAATTATATTAGTTCTTGGAAAAGTTTTCAAATACACTTGGATGCAATGAACCAACAAACCCAGGGGAACTGTAGTCATTAACCAAGAATTACAAGACTAGTCTCAGGTTTCATAGTAGTGAGAAAGAAGGGAAATGTAGAAGAAACAGAAGGAAGAGGAGAAAGAAGAAGAGAAGGAGAAGAAGGAGGAGAAAAAAAGAAAAGAGAAAAGAGGAGGAGAAAGAAGAAGAAAAGGAGAAGGAGGAGAAAAAAAGAAAAGAGAAAAGAAAGAAAAGGAAGAGAAGATGACACAGATTAAATTAAACTGGCCTCACAAATCAAGAGATTTTATGAAAAAGAAACTCTTGAGAATTGAAATTCCTTATAGACTCAGTAGGTAAGGAAGAGATGTGTTTTCTTTCTATGTGCAACCATAAATTATTTTCACAAGGTTCTAGACAACTGGAATAAAGGTAAACTCCAGAGGAGACATGTATATCTACCTGAGAGTTTGTGCTTGGTGTCTGGATGCTCTTCCCAGTATTTATATCCAAGATGTGCAGGCATCCATCCTTCATTCCTCCTCCAACGGCAAGGACTGAAGGCTGCCAGGGACACCAATCTACGGCCTTTAAGGTTTCAAACAACAGCACCGGCAGGTCAGCCTTGAAGAAGGTCAGCTCCCGAAGAAAATGTGAATCAGAAGTCCCAGAAGGCTGCACCCTTTGCAGCTCTCCAGGGCCTCCCATCCAAAGGCAGGAACAACTGTACCTCTGGAGATTACTTCTGGGGAACTAGAAGTCACTTTAAGAAGGGAAGGCACCTCATAGGACTCCATCTCAAATTATGGATTTGTGGATATATTTAATATAAAATAATTATGCAATGGTATGGTTGAAAAACTATATGCAACACATCCTACAGAGCAAAAAGTCTGCTGCTGGAGTAGCTCATATGTGCCCCTAGAATCTGGCTCTAAAATGTAGCCTTTCTCTGGTTTTCCTACCTATGTCCTTGGGTTTCTAGTAGTCAGACAAGAGAAAATAGAGCCATATGTGATGGCTTGTAACTCAAAAAAAAAAAAAAAAACTCATGTATTTCAATTCTAATACAGCTCAGAAAACAAAATTGACTTTTACTTGTGTATTTATAAGTTATCACGGTTAGCTCTGAAAAATAGGATTTAGTGTCACACATTTGTAGTAATCATTGAAATGGTGAATAACAATGTTAAAGAGCATTTTAGCAAATATTTCTGTTATATATCTACCTGAGTAGTTACATTAATCATCCTGGTAGCCTCCCCCACTTTTGCATATTATTGTCTACATGTAAAAATATTTTTATAAAGGAGAAAATATAATGTTTATACTATTTTTCTGTTGTTTTCATCTGCATATAAACACTTCTCCATGTTTGAACATATATTTCATCATTATCTTTTTTTTTTTTTTTTATGCCAGAGGGTGTATGTGTTCACCAGAAAAACAGAGAAAAAGGAAGCACCCCACCCACAGTGTGGCCTGGTCATGCTGCAATTCTTTTTCCTCCATTCTTCTCTCCCATTGGGATCCAGAGTACACGTGCACATCACTTGGTGTGGTCAAGCCACTGAGGCAGATATCTCTAAATGCAGCCAGCCATGGGAGATCTGGCTTTCTGTGTATAGCACTTAACCTTGGAGCTAGGGGGCCAGACCACATAATTATCATTTTTAAAAATACCATATTATTCAATCATGTTGTCATCTGCTGATTCATTTTGTTCTCCTAATGCTAGACTTGGATTGGTTTATTTTACTTTATTTTGGTTTGGTTCGCATTGGGATGTGTATTTTTTTTGGATAGGAGTGAATTTTAAGTTTGTGTGTGTGTATGTATGTGTGTGTGTATTTCGTTTGTTTAATGTTATAAAGAATGATAACAAATAAATTTTATATATCTTTTGTTTCTGACAATTGTTTAGGTAAACTCCACGGTCCAAAAGCATTGATAAAGCTTTCAAAGCAAGTACGACTTTTTAGGACACCATCATCAATGAGTGTACTACTTTCATCCTGGCTGAAAGTTACTTTGAAGTTAAAAATGTTATTTTATATCTAGTGAAATTATAATAATGATAAAACAGATTACAAGAGTGATTTTAATTTTTGTTTAGGTTTTTGCTATAGGGTGCACGTACTTGCCAAAGAGAGACAGAGAAGAAAGTGAGAAATCACACTCCAGGGAGGATGGCCACACCCCAACCCCTTCTCTTTTATTCTCCTATCCAGATTTTGAGCACATATGTACACATACCCAGCAGGATTCTCAAGCCACTGGGTCCAGACCTTGAACCATGGTTAGCCACGTAGGAGTCCAGTGCCTTTACCACCATGCCACTTGCTGACCCTAATTTTATTTTTAAATTATTTTTAATTGACAATAATTGTACATACTTACGGGATACAGAATGGCTTTTCAGTTTATGAATATAATGTGATATGATCAAATCAGTGACTTGCATATTCACTACCTGAAATAGTTATCATTATTTTGTGTTGGGAGCATTTAAAATCCTGTCCTCTAACTATCTTGAAATATACAATAAATTATTGTTAACTATAGTCATACCACCATGCTACAGAACACTAGAACTTGTTCCTCCTATGGAATTGTCATTTGTATCCATTAACAAATATCTCCCTATCTCCTCTCCCTTCTAGACTTCCCAGCCTCTAGTAACCACTATGCCACTTCTATGAAGTTGATTTTTTGAGCTTCTACATAAGAATGAGAATACATGGTATTTCTCTTTCTGTACCTGACTTATTCACTTAACATAATGTCCTCCAGGGTCATTCATGTTTCTTTAAATGGTAGGATTTCATTCTCTTTAATAGTTGAATAGTATTCCATTTTGTGTGTATGTGTGTCACATTTTCTTCATCCATTCACCTGTTAATGGACACGCAGATTGATTCCATATTTTGGCCATTGTGAATCCACATGGGAGTGAAAACTGAATTTATTTCCTTTGTCTATATCCCCCGGAGTGAGATCACTGAATCATAAGGCAGTTCTATCTCTAGCTTCTTGAGGAGTCTCTAAACTGTTTTCCATTATGCCTCCACTAGTTTGCCTCTCCATCAACAGAGTATAAGAGTTTACCTTTCCCTATATTCTCACCAGCATTATTTTTCTGTCTTTTTGATGATAGCCTTTCTAACAGGGAGAAAATTGTGGTTTTGATTTGCATTTTCCTGATGATTAGTGATGTTGAGTTTTTCCTCATACTTTTTGTCCATTTGTATTTCTTCTTTTAAGAAATGTCTGTTCAGGGACCAGCAGGTTAGTGTGGTGGTTAAAGGTGCTGGATTCCCATATGGCCAACTGCAGTTCAAGTCTCAGCCTTGGAAGGTTCTTTCTCACTTTCTTGCTCTCTCTCTCTCTATAAAAAGGAACCAAGTGGATCTGTTAGAGATGAAGGCTATAATATAGGAAGTCAAAACGTCCCTTGAAAGTATTAAAAGCAGACTAGATTATATAGATAATAGAGAAAATCGAATCTCAGATGTATAAGACAGAATCACTGCTAAT